TAAACAAAATTTCTGATGAAAGATTGTTAACATTGGAAACATCAAATATATATATAAATAAATAAAATTGTTTTTCATTTTCATTATGGCGGTATTTTTGAAATTTTTTTTGTAAAATATATATATATATATATATATATATATATATAATCCTGTTCTGGAATGTTCAAAAATTAAATTTGAGTAACAATTATATTTAATTTTTGTTTTTCAAAATGTTCATCCTTTGCAACTAGGCCTCGAGGCACTCAAGGTAGAGGAAAATAGGTTAAGTGGCACAGTTTATGCGAATACATGAAGACGACAACACTTAAACATGGACTTGATCAGGTTAATATTGTACTGATTGAAACTTTCGTTACAACGTGCTTGGCATGGGTGGGTCTTAGCCCTGAGGGTTAGAACTGGTGGAACTTAAGGAATCTTGTTCGCCTGATTCACTTTCCATGCAAATAGCAAATAGAGCATGGAGATGCAAAGTTTTGTCTTTGGGCAAAACGTTTGCAGAGTGGAAAATAATTCATCACCTACAGGGACGCGGAGACGATTTTTGATTCTATCGAAACTGACAAAGTTAAAACTGGGCAGCTCCTGTCCATATACAGCAACATGACACTATTTGGGGCAACGCCCGACTCTTGTGTGGTGGTTTACTTAGCGTAGCTTAGACGTGGGACAAAGCCGGAAGTATGGGTCACCCAGTGAGGATCGTACTCACTATTCAGTTGTAACTGATTTAGAACAACGTGCAGCTGATCTGATTCTTGTAAAGATTCTTGTAAAGATAAAGCATAGAAGAATTAGTTCTTTACTGAAGCTGTACCGGGAACTGACCATGTTTCCAGCATCTTTAGCGATGCATCGTATATACGTGTTCCACTTGAAGTCTGCTTTGAGTTAAATCTCAGTAGGTGTTCAAACTTAAAGGGGCCTCCTTTAAAGAATTCCGTTTTTTTAACAGATGGAAACATTTATTTCGGTGATGATGGAACATTACATGCTTGGCTTTTGAGATATTGAATGCGACCGATCTGTTTTCCCGCCATTGAATTGTTAAAGCTAGGTCAGATGAGTCATTTGCTGCCAGGTTCTGGTCATCAAGATATTTCGATATACACCCATATACCGTTGTATATCATTACTAAATATCTCTACAGATGATATCACGGATAAATCGGCCGTGTGGCACATCTCGCCCTGTGGGGAATCGAAAAAAATTACCGCTGTTAAATCTTAACGGCAGATAACGGTGTTTGTCGAATTTTATCTCGTCAAATATATAGACGAGACTTTGCCTTTCGACAGAGTCTCGTCTGTTGAGGTAGACAAACCCGACCCTGTTATTACAGAGTCTACGGGGAAATTTTTTTTTATTTTCTCCTCCTCAACGAAAAACCCACCTATAAACATGGCCTTGTACCACATCCCGTGAAAGTACAACTGCTCAACCTGACCGGAGAACATTCGGGGATGATGGAACGTTAGAAGCTTGGCTTTTGAGATATTGAATGTGACCGACATTGATCTGTTAAAGCTAGATCAAAGGCGACATCAGGTGCCAGGCTGTGGTCATGTTTTCGGCCATAAATTCCTTTTTGTGGAGTGTTAATTACATCAAATATTTACATCAGGTGCCAATTTGTATGTTTTCATAAAAAATAATGGCTTATATTTTGTTTTTTTTATTCCGTCACTATCTTATCTTCAGTTCTTCTATATTACATTTTTACAGTGAGTTTCACACTGTACAAGGCCCGAGAGCCACTCGAGGTAGAGAGTTACAGGGTAAAATTTTAACAACAACAACAGTTTAAGCGGGTACCCTAGACTTGATCATATTAAGATTGTCGTGATTGGAGAAAACAACCCTTGGAAGTCGATTTCACAGACCAGAGTGTCGTGAGAAGCTGCTGCTCGAGTGTAACTTTCATCTCCCCAGTGCAATGGGGAACGAGGTTCGTTCGCTACAATGTCCGTAACGATATTTTTTGCAGTATCTTTAATTACGGATAGTATGTATCCATTTGAGGGCTATATGAAAGTCCCAATAGGCACTTTACAGTCAATATCCTGAGTGAAAACACGTTTATTGCAATTTGTAGTCATGAAATTTTTATTCTAATATATATATATATATATATATATATATATATATATATATATATATATTTTTTTTAAAATATGATTCCTTCGCTACATAAGAGTTCTCATGTTTCAAAAACGAAGAGCCGAAACCATCCAAATAATTATTAAAATTAAATTGAATTGAGGTGTTTAGTCCCGTTTCATCTTCAAGCGAAATTTTAGGAATAAGCTATCTCTTGGTATACGTGTGTTTATATATATATATATATATATATATATATATATATATATATATATATATATATATATATATAAAAGATAATAAGAAAAGAAATATAGAAGAATTGAAAGACAGTAAGAATAGTTAGTGACCTCAAGGCATATAAAATAAAACATAAAAATGTCATCCTCTAAGACCAGAGCCGTTTCAAAAATTTCTAGCAGAGTGAATTATTTCAGGGTACTCTCTTTCTGGCCTTACTATACTGTGCAGGTGACAAACAAAAACTAACAGTGCGCACACGCGAAATTATAAATAAACAATGGCGACAATTATATATATATATATATATATATATATATATATATATATAAATATAAAGGAAATATGTTGTAGTGGTTCCAACGAGAAAAGTATGTATATTATAACAAACGTTTTTGGTTGTAATGTGGATTTATTGAGAAAAAATATTATACTTTGTTTTACAAATATATATATATTATATTATATATATAAAAATATTATATTATATAAAAAATTATATTAAATATATTATTCATTATAATGTGTTTTTGAAAAAAATATTATACTTTGTTTTAAAATTATATTATATTTTAAATTTTATTATATAAATATATATATATATTTTTTATGGTTTTTTTACAAAAATATTATAACAAAAAATACTTTGTTTTGTGGCAAACAAAAGTATATATATATTTATATATATATTAAAGAGAAGAGAGAAACCACAACCACAAACGATTTGGGTTATAAAGTGTATTATTTTTAAATATATATATTATACTTTATTTACCATAGTTTTGCTACACGAGTTTCTGGTCACGTGACATTCGCCAGGCAGAATGGTTATTTCCACATACTATTAAAAGGAAAGTTCCTTATGTATTCCGATGTTAACCACTGCCTTTTGTTTGTAGTTGTAAACAATTTTTTTTTTGGGCATTCTTGGGTTTCTACTAGGTAAAAAACCTTCGGTGTGAAGAGATGAATATTTAAATGCACATATTCATGAAATAAATTATATCCGAAATGGATTTTTAAGGATTGCCTTTACTTATTATTGTTATGTTTCTCTGTTACTTACATTGAGCTTTGGATTACCTTTGGATTATGTCCTCCTTGGAATTATGACTACCAATTGCCAACTGGTATTATATATATACATGTGCGTGTGTGTGTGTGAGTAATCCTCTTTTGATTTCAAAAATTTTCGACTGATTTAATTTATGTAAATTAAGAAACCTTACTTCGCTTAACCACCTGGGACAATTAATTAGATGCGATGGATTCGCGCGAGAAAGGCGTTGCAAACATTGTTTACCTGAAGGTGATGAGTGGAAGGCGTTGTGAATTGGATGAAAGAGAAAAGAGTTAAAAGATCAATGAAGAATATCAATAAATACAAAAAAAATCAGAGAGGCTGAAAGAAAGAAGAGGGACATCTAGATATAGTGATGAAGCGTGATAAGAATAAAGAAAGAATGAAAAAGAAAGGAAAAAGGAGGAAACAAAGAAATAATTAAAGGAAACAAAGAAAGAAAGAAACAGAAATAAAGAACGAAAGAAAGAATGAAAGAAAGAAGTAAAATATCTAAACCCAGAAAGAAAGACATAGAAGAAAGAGAAATGAAAAGAAACTCGAAAAAGAAAGAAACAATGAAATGAAATAAAGAAAGGAGAAAAAAATTAAAAAAAGGACGAAAGAAAGAAACAAATAAAATATGTAAATAAAGAAACAGAAAGAATGAAACAGGCGAAAGAAAAAAGAAAGAAACGGAAGAAAGAAAAGCATTCAAATGAAACAAAGAGAGAAGGAGAAGGAAAAAATGAAAAGAAAAGAAACTTTTTAAAAGAAAGAAAGAAAAAAAGAAAATAAAATTAAAAACAAATAGAATTTTTATAAAAAAGAAAGAAGAAAGAAAGAGTTATTAAAAAAGAAAAAGAAACAGATAGAAAGAGAAATAAAGAAAGAAACAGAAATAAAGAGAAATAAAGAAAGAAACAGATAGAAAGAGAAATAAAAAAATAAACAGAAAGAAAGAGAAATAAAGAAAATTTCTAAGAAGAAAAAAAGAAAAAAAAGAAAGAAACAAAAAAAAAAGAATAAAAAAAAACAGATAGAAAGAGAAATAAAGAAATAAACCGAAAGAAAGAGAAATAAAGAAAGAAACAGTAGAAAAAATCAAAAAATAATACAAATCATGAATGAAACATAAACGACAAAAGAGAAACAAATGAAACACTTAAATAAACATAAAGAAGGAAAGAAAGAAAGAAAGAAATAAACAAAAAAAGAAAAACGAAGGAAAGAAAGAATAGTCCAAAGAGAAAATATTAAAGAGAGTCTAAATACGGCATTTTTCTTAATGTTCACCCAATTCAAGGCCCAAAAAACACTCAAGGTAGAGGGTTACAGTGTGGTGTCCTATATTTATTTATGAAAGGACAAGAAGTGAAGTTCTTGGGGCTATGCAGGAGAGACAACAGCTGTTTCTTGAGTTAGACCTTCGAAAGATGGAATCCCAATTCTAAACAAGAAACAATGTATAAACATCTCGTCCTGTTGAAGAGACCAAACCAAGGAGAAAACCGGGTGATAGGCGAAACCAATTTATATATTTAAGAAAACAAAAAATAAATCGTGAGGTAATTTCAGAAGAAAGCAAAAACTTTAGAAGTGCAGAAATTTTTTTATTAAAAAGGAACCGAAGTAACTAATAAAAGAAAGAAAAAAAGAAAAAAAGAAAGAAAAAAAAGAAAGAAAGAAAAGGATGAATGAATGAAAGAAGGCATGAAGGAATGAAAACAAAAAGAAAGAAAGAATAGACAACTGTGTAAAATATATATAAGTTTTTGTATCGAAAACTGAATAAGAAAGAAAGAAAAGAACGAAAGAAAGAACAAAAAAGAAAGAAAAAAGAAAAAAAAAGATAGAAAGAAAGAAAAGATAAAAAAAAAAGAAATTTAGAAAAAAAAGAAAAAGATTCAATTGAAAAAGAAAAGTGAAAAAAAAAACTGAAAAAAAAAGAAAAAAAAAAAAGAAAAATAAAAAAGAAAAGAAAGAAAAGAAAAAATTGAAAAGAAAAAAAAAATTAAAAACAAATGAAAACGAAAAGAATAGAAAAAATAAACAAATTTGAAATAAATAATTATAAAAAAATTTAGAGTAAAAAATAATTTTCAAAATAAAAAAATAAAAAGAAAAGCCCATTTTAAAATTTTTTTTAAAGAACGAAAATAAGAAAATGAAATAAAATAAAGAAAAAAAAACAAAGAAATTCTAGATGTTATCTTATTTTCAAAATTGACAACCCAATGTGTATAAATATATAAAGAGCATCAAAACTCCTTAACTTTTTAAAGAAAGAAAGAAAAGAAAGAAAGAATGAACGAAAACAAAAACGAAAGAAAAAAAGGAATTTTTTTTCCAAAAAAATAAAAATAATAAATTTAAGAACTCAAAAGAAATATATCAGAAAAATCAGAATTTAATTGACAAATGTAACATAAAAAAAAATTCATTTAAAATTTAAAAAAATTCTAAGGAAATAAAACTAAATAAAAAAAGGTTTCAAACTGAGAATAAATAAAAAGAAAGAAAGAAAGAAAGAAAAAGTTTAATAAAAAAATTTTAAGGAAATTGTTTTTTGATATTCATTAAGGAAAGTTTTCATTTTTAAAGAGATAATAGACAACTTTTTAAATATATAAAGATAAAATCTAAAAATTTTAATTTACACATATATTAAAAAAAAATAAAAAAGAAAATAAAATAAAAAATAAAAAAACATTATTTTTTAAATATTAAAGAAAAAAAAGAATTATATAAATCTAAATTTTTAAATATGTTTTTAAAAAAAAAAAAAAGAAAAAGAAAAGAAATAAAGAAAATGTTTAGAAAAATTTCAAAATAAATACTTGTTAAATAATATTCAATTCTTTTGAAATTTTAATTTAAAAAGGAAAATAAAATAATCTGAAAGGAAAACCAAATTTAAATTTAAAAATAATCCTGGTTTTTTTTAATATAAAAGAATCTAAAAGAAATGGAAGAAATTGAAAGAAAGAAAGAAAGAAAGAAAGAAGAAATTTAGAAATATTTAATAAAAAGAAAATAAATCTCCTATTTTGAAAGAAATGTTGTATAAACATTATTTTTTTTTTCGATTTGGAATTGAAAAATTAAATAATTGAAAAGAAAAGAAAGAAAGAAAAAAAAAAGAAAAATAAAATTTTGTTCAAATATATAAATAGGAAATATATATATATACTTATAATAAAAAAGAAAGAAAAGAAAGGAGAAAGAAAAACATTTTAAAAGAAAAAGAAAAAAAGAATATACAAAAGAGTAAATGATAAATTTTAAATAAGATTGTATTTTCTCCGAAATTTATAAGAAAGAAATTTTATCAAAAGAAAGGGTTTTAAAAGAAAAAAAATTTTCAATAAACAAATGAGTTAATATATAAGGAAGATAAAAAAAAGAATAAAATAAAAAGACAACAGTTACAAAAAATAGAAAAAATCGAAACTAAAATAGGAAGGAAAGAAAAGAAAAAAAAAGTATACTAGTAAAATTAAAATATCGAAACTGGAATATGAAAGAAAAAAAAAAAAAGAAAGAAAAAAATTTCCTTAAAGAAGGAATACAAAATTTCAATGCCAAGCATTTTAAGGAAATAAAAAGCTCTAGAAGAAGGAAGAAGATTTTTCTAATATGGATAAATCAAAGAAACAAATAACAGATGTTACTGCTCATTTATCAAAAAAAATGTTTTAATCGTTAAATGTTGTTTTCAAAAGAATATATAAACAGACGGTAAAGAGAATGAGGAAAAAAAGATTTTGACATAAAAGCAACCGAAGGAGAAAGAAAGAAAGAAAAAAAGAAAAAAAAATAAAGAAAACATTAAAAAATATAATGTGTATCTATATTTTTTTTTCATTAAAAATTTTTTAAAACGCTATATTTAAAACAGAAAGAATAAGATGAAAACTCCTGCAAAAAAAACTTTTAAAATTTGACGATTGTTTTTGTTTCTAAGTTCCTTTCAATCCAATCCAAGATGTAAATTTCAAATGCTTTTTGAAATTATTTCAAAAAAATTTATGTCATTTGAATTCTATAGTCTTTGTTGGCCGTCATTCATTTGTTTAAATGATTAAAATTCAAAACAAATTCCAATTTTTTTGTAAATTTTTATTTCCATCACATTAGAAAATTTATCAAAAATAAATCTGAATACTTAAACAAATAAATTACTAATAATTAAATTAAAAAATATTTTCCATATTTATATATCACATATATATATATATATATATATAAATATATATATATATGATATATTAAATATTATATATTTATGGATTTATATAAATATAATTTAAGTTCAATATTTAAAAATTAAAATATATAGCTTAAACAATAAAAAAAAAAAAAAGAAAATTTTTTAAACATAGAATGGAGAAATGTCATGATAAACTTATTTTTAATCAATTTTTATTTTCATTGTTATCCAATTTTCCCCAATTTTATTTAAATTACAAATCAGTTAATTCCAATTAACTCTAATCTTATCTCTAATCTCCATATATATATATATATATATTTATATATAAATATAAATTTTTATATATAATTATATAAAATTTAAAACCAAATGATACATTGAAACAAAAAATTCTCCTCTTCCCAACTCAACTAATTTTCGTTAAACTTTGTGTATACTTGATGAGGTCCGTCAAAAAGTGTGAATTTCTTTTTCATTTTTATTTTTCAGCTTTTGTTCAAGTAAAGTCTGATGATCCAGAACCCTGTTAAAAAATTGTTATGGTGAAATAGCTTATTACATGGAATCTTAATGTGGTCTGTCTTTTATTCAAACAATATATATATATATATATATATATATATATATATATATATATATATATATATATATATATTTTATAGAATTTTGATTTTTTTTTTATATATTATTTCATTGAATATATTTATATATAAATATATTTATTTTATATTTTTTTTTATTTTAAAAAATAAATAATCTTATAAATATTTTTTTCATTTCGAATGATAATTTATATAAATTTGTTAACATTTGTTTTTTTTAAACCGAAAATAATTCGGATATATATTTAAGATATTTTTGAGGTTTAAATATTTTATATATTATAAATATTTTTTTAATTTTTTTGTGTATATATTTCTGTCAATAGAATAATAAAACATAAACATTAATAAAATTAAATTATAAAAATCAAATGAACGAAAATTATAAACAAGATGAAAGTAGAATTAAGAACATTATTTAAAAATGGGTAACAATCAGTTGACAATATTGACAAAAAAAAATTAGATTAATTATTTATTATTAAAAATTTAAAACCTCTAACCTTATAGTTAAAATATAAAATTCACCTCCTAGAAAAAAATTAAATAGGGCAAATATTATTTACGAATTTAAATGCCCATTAAGCAATTGTATTCCTGATTATTCAAAATTCGTAAATAATTATATAGGCCACACTACAACATGTTTGACACGCAGACTCACTCTACACATTTCTGACCATAGCTCAATTAGATCTCATTTAAATTTTCATGGACACCTACCGGACACTATTCGTAAAATACTTGTTGACAACACTAATATAATTGCATCATCTCCATGCAAAAAAAGCTAAAAATAATGGAAGCCTTATTAATAAAAACAAAAAACCATGACTTAATTATATTAACTTTGAACATGGACACAATATATTGACCGTTTTTTTTTTGTAAAATGAAAACATTTTATAAAACATACAGTTAAATTATTTAATCCTTGAAAATGGGTAAATGTATAGCCGAAAGCGCTCGGATAAAAAGAACATTCGGTCAGTTTTTATATAATTTATCATCCGAAAAGAAAAAAAAGTAAATCGCATGAAAAACTGTATAATTTTTTTTTTAATAAAAGCACATTGTCTGTCGTTTTCAATGAAATGTGCACGAAAGAAGGATTGCTGCCTAAATACACAAATATATATATATTCAAATATTCAGTACAATAAACATTTATCAAACATCTTGTATAATCTAGAAGTGGATTCTAGTAATTTAAAGTATTAAAACTGATGTACAGCCTGTAATTTTTCGAAAACATTAATAAATAATTTTTTTTACAACATTGCTTTTATAGACATTTTAAAACATTTTTTTTTACACATAGTGAATTTCTTACTCGTTTTTGTAACAGCACGAAGAAATTGATCTGTGAATATGTGAGGAGTAAATAAAATAGATATTATATGTCTAGATTATTCTACCAAACATGATAAATTCTAAATATATATATATATATATATATATATATATATATATATATATATATATATATATATAATAAAGTTAACAAATCCTTTCAGGTATTTTATGATCCAAGTGGATCCTAATAATATAAAATATTAAAACTTCGTTGCAAAAAAATTTTTTCATATTTATTATTGCACAGAAATAAACAGTATCACATAAAAATTAAAAATTATCTTATATATAAAGATCTATTTCAATTCTATATATATATATATATATATATATATATATATATATATATTATATATAAATAACAAATATTTTAATGATTTAATAGAATAAATCGTCAAAACATTTAAATAAGATACACCAACCCGAATTGTATATCTATTTATGATCCCTCTTTATAAATTCCAGAATGTGCAAAGTTTTTTTAAATTTTTTCAAGCTTTCGTCTGTTCCTACAACACATCAAAATTTTAAAAAATTAAAAGACCTTATGCAACTGGAATTTATAAACAGGGATCATATCATTCATATACATGTTCAGGGTTGGTGTATCTTATTTATATTGTTTGCGAAGATGTATTCTCGCCATTTAAATCATTAACCTCTATATTTGTTTTTTTTGTATCAATGATTCATGAATTTATATATATATTTCTTACCTTTAATTAAAATACATACATATATATATATATATATATATATATATATATATATATATATATATAGCTATTCATACAATGTTTATATATATCTTCCTTTTAAATGGCTAAATATATAGCCAAAAACACTCAGAAAAAAAGAACAATTGGACAGTTTTTATATAACATATCTACCGAAAAGAAACAATTGTAAGATCACATGAGAAATTTTACAAAAAACTAAACCGTAGCACCTTGACTGTC